TCAGCAAGAAAGTTTCCTCTCTTATTTTGATGTAGGGTTAATGGTTTGCTAAATATTTTCAATTCCATCAAGATTTGTTGTTCATGAAACCTTATAAGATAACTGGGGAAATTTGTGTAATTTCTGTTTCGCATGTAAGAATGAACTCTGCGATGTTAACCAGTCCAAGGTGTATATGGAAAGTTGAGGGCTAGAAAAAAAGATCAGTTTCCAGATCAAGGTCCCTGACATAATTTAATCTCAGCTTTCCTTCTCTACAGAGTGTAAGTGCCATTTAGGTTGTCTTGTATTCACCACTGCACCTGTAGTTCCTCAAACAGGCCCTCATACAAAGTAGGCACTCAGTAACATTGGTAGAGCAACTGAACAAACATAAAAGTACAGATACACTCCTCACAGGGGTAGCTACGAATGTCAGGTAACATATGAAGAGAGGAAAAATTTTACTTGTGACTTTGTATATTTCAAATACAACATTTTGTACAGTGAACATGTATTACTTTTATAAATAAAAAGATAAACTAATGGATCTACTATATGAAAGTACTTTGGAAGTGTTACAGATATTGTTTTCACTGTATACAAACACTTAAGTTGCTTTGTGATCATCGAGTACTAAAAATAAGAATGTCGTGTATTCCCTACAGTAGTATAGAGAGGCTTTGGAATAGCTTAAGGAATACAGTGGCTTTGTGTTCTAGTGAACCTAAATGTATAATACTTCTTCAAAGAAGCCTGAGCACATGCCATAGTTTTGCTTCCTGTGATTGAACATAAATACAGGTTGACTATACCTTATCTGAAATTCTTGGGACCCAAAGTATTTCAGATTTTGGAGTATTTGCATACATATAACAAGACATCTTGCGGATGGAACCCAAGGCTGAACATGAAGTTCATTTATGTTGAATATACACCTTACACACATAATCTAAAGATAATTTTATGCAACATTCTTGTATTGCAACCTGTCACATGAGGTCAGATGTGGAAGTTTCTACTTCCGTCATCCTGTCAGCATGCAGTTTCAGATTTTAGAACATTTCAGATTAAGGCTGCTCAACCTGTACAGGAAAAACATCTGTGTGGCAGCAAATTCATGTGTTTTACTTTAAGTAAAAATTTAAAAAGAAAGAGAGAGATCAGAAAGATATAGGAGGAAATAATTATGCCAAGAACTAAGAATATATAAATACTATAGTTGAACATTAAACTTAGCATTGCGCTTTCTAGAAACCATAGCAAAAAGGGAAGAAATTGATAATTAAAGAGGGCCTATTTCTCACAGAAAAGAATACTTTTTCTATCTCTAAATTCTAGGAAAGAGTCTTTTTTTAATACTTTTTTTCTAATTTATGTTTCAAAGCATATAGTTCATCGAGTTTTGAAATAAAGTTCATAAGAGTTTTATGCAAAACAAATACTTATGTGACTCATCTCTATGTTTCTGCATTTGTGCCTTTGTCTCAGGGAACTGTGCACTAAACTATACAGCATGAGCTGGGGCAATACACAGAGCTGGCAAGAGTTTGATCGCTTTTGTGAGTATAATCCAGTGGAAGTGTCCATGTTGACCTGCCTAGCAGATGTCCGGGAACCTTGCCAACTGGGCTGTAGAAACCTAACTTACTGTACTAATTTTAACAACAGGTAAGAACAAATTATTATACCTACAATGGAAATGTTTTATCATTAATTTTCCAGTTTTTAAATAAAATAAGTGAAGATGCCAGTGTACTCTTATTTTGTTTCTGCTAGGTTAAAAGAATGCTATATTGGGTCGTCGGAAAAGTCATGATGTATTTTTCCTGTGTTTTTCTCCAAAATGCGTCATGACTTTTCTGACAATCAATATTTTTAAATGCCATATTCCACATGGTAAATCACCTCTGGGAAAGGAAGCACTATTACAAAAATCATTTTCCCATCCCAGTTCTAACCAGGCCCGACCCTGCTTAGCTTCCGAGATCAGACGAGATCAGGTGTGTTCAGGATGGTATGGCCGTAGACACAAAAATCTTTTTCAATGTAGAGATACCTCAAGCTTCAAGTTCAAAGAATCTGTTCTGCTTCAGTCTCCTCTCCCTTCCGCTGCACCACCAGTAGAAACAATTCATCACAGAGTAAATCACTGTGAACCATATGGTCATCCAAATGTTCACCTGTGACAGTTTACTTTGAAGGACCTCAGACTGGTTGAGGTCCCTATTCACAGAGTCCCATTTATGGAAAAACACTTATTATTTTTTATTTTTTTTAGAAAGAGATTTTTGCTATAGGGCACATGTGCTTGCTGGAGACCCAGGAAGAGAGAAAGCAAGAAATCATCTCCCAAGGGGGATGGCTACACTCCAAACCCTTCTCCATTCTTCTCCTGGGAATTTGAGCACACATGCACATGTGGCCAGTGTGAGTTTCAAGCCGTCGGGTCCAGGACTCAAACCATGGTTGGCCATGTGTGAGTTCAACGTACTACCCACTGGCCCCCCAAAATATTTCTTTACAGAACAATTCAAATAGATGTTTTCCTAGTATTGAGTATAGTAAAAAAATAAGAGGACAAGAACTGAGCCTTGGAATATATCCACAGTTGATAGCTAGAGAAATGGTGAAGAAAACAAAAAGGGCATCAGAAGCAGTGGATGAGAGCTCTGTATAGAAACCAGAAAAGGGGAGTTCCTAAAGAAGGGGTGTTGTGAGCAACAGCTCAGAGACCATGACAGCAAAAGGGAAGATTCAGTTACTCCAGAAGGAAGTTCTAGGTATTTTTGTCAGATGATGTTTTCCTTGGGCCAACACACACCCTATCCTTTTAAATTTCTGAGTATTTAAATAAGAAAAAATGAACTATCTTTACAACTGAAGATAGAGGTTAGCCAGTAACGACCTGCCTGCTTAGAAATTGAGTAAATTTAAAATCTATGAAATTTTTGAAGTTAAATTTGAACACAGAGTTACGACTTTTGGCAATGGTGGAATAATTTATATCAGAAAACACCCCTGCTGATTCCAATTATAACCTCTGCACAAAATACAAAACAACAATTGTTTTGAAGGCATTGAAGAATGATTGGAAGTAGGAGGCTATATCTCATGAAAGATAGAAGCCACACTGAATGAAAACCACATGTATCTACTTTCGCCTCATAGGTCCATGCAGTCCCCTTGCGTGGGGAATAGATTTCAAGCGGAAAGCAGCAATCTTGGGCTGAGGGGCGATCAGAGTTGGGGCTACCAGACAGGCTTACTACTGAAGGGGGGCAATCTCACAAAGGAGAGAATCACAAAAGGAAACATCCCAAAATTTGTACATGAATTGCCCTTAAATCCTTGATTGGCTCTTACATTGCACTTGTGCAGGTTAGCACTATAAAGAACCCAGGGAAAATAATAAGCAGAAGGCTAAAAGAAGGTGGACATGGATTATACAGTAGCAGCTGCCTTTTCTTTTATTTTTTTAAATTTTTTTCTTTAATTATTTTATTTATCTTTATCCATTTATTTATTTGTTTATTTATTTATTTTTATTTGATCATAGAGGGATAGAATGAGAGAGAAAGTGAGAAAGCAAGCTGCCAGGTCTGGGACTTGAACCGAGGACAGCCATGTGGGAGTTCAGTACCTTTAACCACTGCCAGCCCCAGCAGCTGCCTTTTCTGAGGAGGCTTAGTTTGGCATTCAAGTCATGCCAAGTTAGAAGGACCTAGCAAACACCTTGAGATTTTCACTGAAACTCCTTAAAGGCCCTATCTTGGGAGTAGAGACCTCATCTAAGGACTAAAGATTAAACTAAAAACCATAAGAACACCTAAAACCATGCCTCTCTAAGAGCAAAGTAGGCCAGCCCCATGGCCTTGTAGTTAAAGGAGCTAAATTTCATGTGGTCAGCTTCAGGACTACGCCACCTGGCAAATGAGATCTTAATATAGTTATAAAAATAGTTTAGATCCTAGTCCTGGCAGCCTGAGAAACACAATGGACACCTGTGCACGCATGCCCAAAATCCCAGCGGGATAGAACAATGAAGGAGAAGGGATGGCGGCATGACCACTCACCACTAGACGATGCTTTGTCTCTCTCCCTCTCTCTCTGTCTCCATCAAGTACACATGCCCTCTGGCAAATTAAAACAAAAACAAAAACTTTTGTAACTCACTAAGAAAAAGACAACTCAACTTTTCTTTAAAAAAGCTGAAGGACATGTCACAAAGACAATATCCAGGACTAGCAGATGGCATGGAAGCTAAGGCACTAGGTTCCACATGTCTGACTCCACAGTTTCAGTCCTGGACCTGGCAGCTTGAAATTCACAGTGGGGGAACCAGCAGATGGCATAATTTATCTTTATCCATTTATTTATTTGTTTATTTATTTATTTTTATTTGATCATAGAGGGATAGAATGAGAGAGAAAGTGAGAAAGCAAGCTGCCAGGTCTGGGACTTGAACCGAGGACAGCCATGTGGGAGTTCAGTACCTTTAACCACTGCCAGCCCCAGCAGCTGCCTTTTCTGAGGAGGCTTAGTTTGGCATTCAAGTCATGCCAAGTTAGAAGGACCTAGCAAACACCTTGAGATTTTCACTGAAACTCCTTAAAGGCCCTATCTTGGGAGTAGAGACCTCATCTAAGGACTAAAGATTAAACTAAAAACCATAAGAACACCTAAAACCATGCCTCTCTAAGAGCAAAGTAGGCCAGCCCCATGGCCTTGTAGTTAAAGGAGCTAAATTTCATGTGGTCAGCTTCAGGACTACGCCACCTGGCAAATGAGATCTTAATATAGTTATAAAAATAGTTTAGATCCTAGTCCTGGCAGCCTGAGAAACACAATGGACACCTGTGCACGCATGCCCAAAATCCCAGCGGGATAGAACAATGAAGGAGAAGGGATGGCGGCATGACCACTCACCACTAGACGATGCTTTGTCTCTCTCCCTCTCTCTCTGTCTCCATCAAGTACACATGCCCTCTGGCAAATTAAAACAAAAACAAAAACTTTTGTAACTCACTAAGAAAAAGACAACTCAACTTTTCTTTAAAAAAGCTGAAGGACATGTCACAAAGACAATATCCAGGACTAGCAGATGGCATGGAAGCTAAGGCACTAGGTTCCACATGTCTGACTCCACAGTTTCAGTCCTGGACCTGGCAGCTTGAAATTCACAGTGGGGGAACCAGCAGATGGCATAATGGTTACATCCCTGGACTCCCACGTAGTCAACCACAGTTTGAGTCCCAGACCCGATGGCTTAAAACTCACACCGGGCACATGTGTATGTGTGCCAGAAATCCCAACCAAGAGGAAAATGGAGAAGGGACTGTGGGGTGGCCATCTTCCCTGGAGGGTGATTTTTCACTTTCTGACTCTCTATCTCTCCAGTAAGCATATGCACCCTATAGCAAAAATATCTCCAAAAAAAAAAGGAAATCACACTGGGTATGTGTGCATGCATACCCAAAATCTGGAGAGGAGAATGGAGGATAAGGGATTGCAGCATGGCCATCCCCAGGGACTGTATATATATATGAATGGCCAATAATTACATGAAAAGGTGCTCAACATCATTAGTCATCAATGAAATGCAAAATGAAATCGACAAATACCACTGCAAACTAATAACTAAAAAGACTGATAAACATGTAAAGCAACTAGAACTTTTATGTACTGGTGATGAGTATGTAAAATGGTATAACCACTTTGGGAAACACCTTGGTGGTTTCTTAGAAAGTTAAACCTACTCTGTGACTCACAATGCTATTCCTAGGCATGAAAACTAGAAATAATCTCAATGTCTATGAACTGGTGACTGGATAAATCCACATTTTGCAGTGTGGTTCAAGGTTCGCAAAACCCATTCAGTAGGTCCATGAGATCAAAACTATTTTTATAATAATATTAAGATCTCATTACAAAGGCTGGCAGGTGGCATGGTGGTTAATAGCACTGAACTCCCACACGGTCGACCATGGTTGGAGTCCTGGACCTGGTGGCTTACTTTCTTACTTTCTCTCGCTCTCTCTCTGTCCCTCTCTAATCACATTAAAATAAATGAATAAATAAATAAAGTTAAATAAAATAATTCTTTATAATAAAAAGGTGTCATTTGCCTTTTTCACTCTCAGTCTCACAAGAGTGAACGCTAGACCTTTGCAGAAGCTGTAAGAAATGTGATATAGCAAGAGTGAATACAGAAGCAGATAGAAAAATCCAGCTGTTTTTTATTAAGCCAGGTGTGAAGGAGATCTGCAAAATTGTAGAAAGTTCTATTCTTCTCACTGATTTTTATCTTGTTTTGAAACATATAGTTTTTGAAATAAAAGTAATATTTATATTAACATGCAATGGCTTCTTGTAATTTTAAATAAATTAATAACTATTTTGGGGACCAGCAGATGGCATAGTGGTTACATTGCTAGACTCCCAAATGACCGACTACAGTTTGAGTCCCAGACCTGGTGGCTTGAAACTCGCTCTGAGCGCATCTGTGTGTATGTCCAAGACCCCAGGAGGAGAATGGAGGAGAAAGGATTGCAGTATGGCCATGCCCCATGGGGAGGTGATTTCTTACTTTCCCTCTCACTTTCCAGAAAGCACACACGCCCTAAGGCAAAAACCTCTAAAAAACATTATAACTATTTTTAAAATCAGTTTTGATTTCTAATGTGGTAAATATTGATGGATATAAACCCCATAAACAAAAGCTTTTTAAGAACTAATAATTTTTTTGTTTTTTAAGAAAAATTTTTGCTATAGAGTGCCTGCGTTTGCTGTAGCGACAGAGGGAGATAGAGGGACAGAAAGTGAGAAATCACCCCCCCAGGAAGATGGCTATGCCTCATCTGAGCGCATCTGTGTGTATGTCCAAGACCCCAGGAGGAGAATGGAGGAGAAAGGATTGCAGTATGGCCATGCCCCATGGGGAGGTGATTTCTTACTTTCCCTCTCACTTTCCAGAAAGCACACACGCCCTAAGGCAAAAACCTCTAAAAAACATTATAACTATTTTTAAAATCAGTTTTGATTTCTAATGTGGTAAATATTGATGGATATAAACCCCATAAACAAAAGCTTTTTAAGAACTAATAATTTTTTTGTTTTTTAAGAAAAATTTTTGCTATAGAGTGCCTGCGTTTGCTGTAGCGACAGAGGGAGATAGAGGGACAGAAAGTGAGAAATCACCCCCCCAGGAAGATGGCTATGCCTCAATCCTTTCTCCTCCATTTACTTCTCAGGGTTTTGGGCATGCACACACACGTGCCTGGCTTGAGTTTGAAGCCACCAAGTCCAGGACTCAAACTGCCATCAGCCATGTGGGAGTCCAGCAAAGCAAATTACATCATCTGCTGGTCCCAAGAACGTAATAACTTTTTAAGAGTTTAAATTGTTTCTGAGATCAAAAAGTTTGAGAACCACTAGGATAAAACCACCAGGTATATTTATTAACAGAAGACAACTAGACAATAAAGAGAAACCAACTACTTAGTGTATATGCAACAGCATGGATGAATCTCAAGAGATATTTAGCTGAAGACCTCAGACCCAAAGAGTACATGTGATATGACTATTTATATGGCGTTCTAGAACAGGCAGAATTAATGGTGATACATATATATGAATGGTGAGTGAGGCTAGAGGGCCTTGACTTGACAAGGGTGCCAGGGAACTCTCTGACATGATGGACATGTTCCCTAGTTGGTTGAGATGTGCGTGTATGGATGTACACATTCATCAAATCACATCGACTATAACCATAAAATGCGCATTCTATTTTTTTATTATGCCTAATTTTAAAAACTTGGACTCATGATAGTTATATTGTAAAATAAATTTTTAAAAAAGAAGTAGGGCCAGTGGATAATAGTTCTGTCCCTATTATTTTGAAGTTTTAAACTACCTCACAAAAATCTGTGTTAAAAAGAAAACATGCTGTTAGGTTTTTTTTTTTTTTTTTAGAATTATTTTATTTAACTTTAGTTTTTATTTTATTTGACCAGAGAGGGATAGAGTAAGAAAGAGATTAAGAAAGTGAGAAAGCAAGACACCAGGTCTAGGACTCAAACCACAGTCAGCCATGTGGAAGTCCAGTGCCCTTAACAACTACACCACCTGCCAACCCTGCATTTTAGAATTTTAACGCTAGTCTCTTCGTTGAATCTTCGTGTGCTTGAAGCTGATGTCCTTTGACAGGCTGTATGCACTTTCTTCTGTAAGAAAATCAGATTTTCCTGATACATGAGTGTGTCAGAATCTTACTCAGTACTTCACTCTAGAAATTGACTCTTCATTCCTTCTGGCCTCTTTTCTCTTTAGGCCGACAGAACTTTTCAGGAGTTGTAATGCTCAGTCAGATCAAGGAGCCATGAATGACATGAAGCTGTGGGAGAAAGGAAGCATAAAGATGCCCTTTATCAACATACCTGTTCTTGATATTAAGAAGTGCCAGCCAGAAATGTGGAAGGCAGTAGCTTGTTCACTGCAGATTAAACCGTGTCATAGCAAATCCCGAGGAAGTATTATTTGCAAGTAAGTTGCTTCCATCATAATGATTATCCCATTTTTCAAATCTACCCAGAGACTTTTTAGAATTTTCTCTCCCACCACTTCCATTGGTTCATCACCCCCACACACACACCCCACCCAACTCCGGCATAGCAAATGTTTTCTCACTCTTCATCCTCCGCTTAAAATACTGCTCTCCCCGCTCCCCCACGTCCATGTCCTTGGCCCCTCTCACATACCAGACATTCCTATAGAAGCATCCCAGATCTTCCAGCTGACACTAGTTTTCCTTACTATAAATTCCTACAGAACTTTATTTGTGCTTCTCTTGTGGGACTTAGTTCAAAAATATTTATTAAATGCCTTTGATGTACAATTCTCTTTTATATTTTGAGTATTTCTTTATATTCTGCTAGACTTTTGCTCTCCTTAAGGCATGTATTCTTTGTACCATTTTTCTACTATCTTGTTACCTCTTTTTTAGTATCTCTTCAGATGTTAGCATAATCCTGTTACGTAATAGGTGTTCCATAAATGGTTGGTAAGTGAAGTATTTACGGGATACATTCATAGGGCCTGTCCCTAGCAACGTTTTTAAATAAATACTTTGCTTGGGAAATCTAGGATAAAGACAGGAGCCCCTATGATGGGTAAAAGCAGCAGCATTTAGAAAGAAAGAAAGAAAGAAAGAAAGGAAGAAAGAAAGAAAGAAAGAAGAAAAGAAAAGGGAGGAAGAGGAAGAGAAAGAGAAAGAAGCAAGCCAGCAAACGAACAAGCATAAGGTCCTAAAAGTAGGGATATACGATTTTGCAAAGAGTACATCAGGCTAGCCCTGCAGTTAATTGGTTCGAGGAGCAGGATCTGACATGGATAACTGTGGTTGAGGCGTATGTCAGGCATGTGTGCATGCATGCTCAGAGTCCCAACAGGATGAAGAAATGGAGGAGAGGGCATTGCAGCATGACCCCTGTTGAGAGGCGCTTTCTTCCCCTCTCGCTGTGATCTTATCTTTCTCTGGCAATTGAAAGACAAAAAGAGCAAATCAGACTAGCCTCTCAAAGATGGTGAAGAGCCATATTTGCGGTAATATTGTTGCACGATGACTTCTGTGATGATATCCAAGTTCTCGGTGTTTTGGACAAAAAAATTGAACGAAACACGCCAATAATGAAAGGAAAAGGTAGTTTATTAATTAAAAGTGAAAGTATACTCCTGAGAGGCAGGAGTGGACCTGAGCGAACAGAGAAAGAGTGACTCAAAAGGCCCCAGCAGATGCATTCTACGGGATTTATCATTTTTAACCTAGGTCATACCAGTTGAGCATTGACTGGGCCCACTGATTGTTCTCATCTTCCCCAGCAGATGCATTCTACGGGATTTGCCATTTTTAACCTAGGTCATACCGGTTGAGCATTGACTAGGCCCACTGATTGTTCTCATCTCATCGTCTATGTCAAATGTGGCTTAGCCCACTGATTCATCTCACTGGCTGTATCAAACGAGGCTTAACCAGCTAGATATACCCCACTAATCTCCTGCTTACGTTACCTTGGGTGGGGAATTTTCTGCCCTGATTGTTTTTATTTATTTATTTATTCATTCATTCATTATTTTAATTTGACCAGAGAAAGACAGATGCAGAGAGAAAAGGAAAGTAGGAAAGCAAGCCACCAGGTCCACGACTCAAACCATGGTCAGCCATGTGGGAATGTCCAGTACCTTAACCACTACACCACCTGCTGGCCCCTCCTGATTGGTTTTTCTATCTAGCTACATGGGAAGACACTCTAGCTCCCTTAGCTGCTTCCATTTGCTAGCTTTCTCCTGCCTCAAAAACAAGTACAAACTTGGGCAAGTCTTTTGATCTCTGATAAGAGAAAGTTAGGGATGCTTTGAATTTACTGTTCAACCCAAAGTCCCCTGTGACGCCTGTTCTCTTTTACTGTGCTTACACCTAACGAATTTTGGAACATTGTTAAAGTTATGGAAACTCATTTCCTGCAAAGCTTCAGAAACAGAAGTAATATTGACTGGACAGCATGAGGAAGATGACCCTAAGTTGTGTGCATTTTTTTTTCAAGATCAGATTGTGTAGAGATTCTCAAAAAATGTGGAGACCAGAACAAATTCCCTGAAGACCACACAGCTGAAAGTATTTGTGAGCTTCTGTCCCCTACAGATGACCTAGAGAACTGCATACCTTTGGATACGTACCTCAGTAAGTATTTTTTTCATTGGAAGTTGTTTGTTTTTTAGATTTCAAACATTTCCCTTTCATCTCTGTCCTTGCTGTTTGTTGGGTGAACATCCATCTGTAGAGAACTTGTGATTTAATGACACGATCTCAGTCACAGATTTATCTTACTTGCTTGGCTTTTTTGGCACAGGAAAGCACTGTCATCTTTAAATATGTAAATAGAAGAATCGTGTCAGTCTGAGAAGGCATGAACTATTGTCAATCATGAATTCTAAGCAGTGAATCTGGGGCCAGCATTCTCAGATAACCAGCTCTGTACCATTACTGTGTCCCTGCCATGATTTGACTAGAATGTGGAATTTCCCCAGGGGATATCCAGCTTTTTGTCTTCAGATTGTCAATTAATCTGGACCAGCTCCTTGGTCAGCTCAAATGCTTGTTTTTCTTTTTTTCTTTATGTTTTTGACATAGGGCACAAGTGCTTAGAGAGAGACAGTAAGAAGAAAAATGAGAAATCATCCCCTGGGGGGAATGGCCATGCAGCAATCCCTTCTCCTCCATTCTCCTGGGATTTCTGGATATGTACCTGGTGTGATTTTCAAGCTACCAGATCTAGGACTCGTACCACAGTCAGCCATGTGGGACTCCAGCCCTTAACCACCATGCCACCTGGTGGCCCCTCTAATGCTTTTCTTTTTTTTGTTGTTTTTTTGTTTGTTTGTTTGTTTTTGAGAGGTTTTTGCTATAGGGCGCATGTGCTCGCCAGAAAGACAGAGAGAGCCATAGAGACAGAAAGCGAGAAATCCCCCCCCAGGGGGAATGGTCACGCCACAGTCCCTTCTCCTCCATTCTCCTCTCGGGATCTTGGGCACGCACGCACACGCACCCGGCGTGAGTTCTAAGCCACCGGGTCCAGGACGCGAACCGCGGTCGACTACGTGGGAGTCCAGCGACATAGCCATTACGCTAACTGCTGGTTCCCTCTAATGCTTTTCTTAAGAGAAGCCAGATCCCTGGGCTCAGTCAGCCTGAAACACACTAGGCACACGCCCTGCATGCTCAGAATCCCATAGACTGGAGGACTGAAGGAGGGGAATCACAGCATAAGGGTACTCTTCCCTCTTTTATAAATTTGTTAAAGTGTTATTTTATTTTATTTTATTTACTATATTTTTTAATTGGACTAGAGAGAGACAGAGAGGGAAAGTGAGAAAACAAGCTGCCAGGTCTGGGACACGAACCACGGTTGGCCATGTGGGAGTTCAGCTCCCTAACCACTACATCACCTGCTGGCCCTCAGAACCCTATTTTTACCCTACTCTCTTCCTTTGGCATCGTTTGCACATATGCCCTTTATAATGAATTTTTTCAAAGTTTTAATTAAAAAGAAAATACCAGTGTTTCTGAGCTTGACATTGTTTTGGACTTAACCACCACTAGGAAATAAAAAAACGATGGTCTGGGTTAGGACATGAAAGTGGAACTTAACTCACTGCTTCAGCTTCTCCTTGGCAGGTACTCCTGCCAAGAGCTAGAAAAGTAAGTTGATATCTCATTGAGCTGAGCTCCCTGACAGCAAGGCGACTGTTGGAAGCCAGGGGCATTCGTGCCAGGAGCTGACCAGAAAGGCAATCACTGAGACCACCTTCTACTTGCTCTGTCAGACTTTGTCCTAGTAGAAGAACAGACAAAAGTTTTTCAAAAAAATCCAGAGGGTCTAGCAAATGGCATAGTGGCTACATCGCTGGACTCCCACATCGTCAACTGCAGTTCGAGTCCCTGACCTGGCAGCTTAAAACTCAGGCTAGGCACATGTATGTTATGCCCAAGATCCCAAAAGGAGAATGGAGAAGGGTTTGTGGTGTGGGTGGTGATTTCTCACTTTCTGTCTCTCTGTCTTTCTCTGTCTCTCCAGCAAGCACATGCACCCTATAGCAAAATATCTCTCTAAACAAACAAACAAACAAAAATCCAGAAACAGTAGTCCAGGGTTGTAACAGTGGCTCCATCATCAGGAATCCAGGCCCCTCTGTCTTTCTCCACCATCCTTAGCACCTGCCTTCTGTCATCAATATTACTTCATGCACTTTGTCATCACAGCATGGCTACTGGAGGTCTAACCACCATATCCTGCTTCCAGGTGGTAAAAAGGGAGGAACAGAGCAAACAGCTTCTCCTTACTCTCACTGGCCATCTCTAGTTGTAAGGAAGCTGGTGAAGATTTTCTTTTTTAGCTGTGGGCCCATTGCTATCTCCAATTAGGTAAAATTGGAGATCTATTAGAAAGTGGAAAAAATAAACATAAGATACATTTGATGTATTTGGTGGGAGGAAAAAAAATTTGCAATTAAGCTGTCTAAAGACAAATGTAAAGAAAAAAATCATTAATTTGTAACTGGTAGTATCTGCCACATTTTAAAAAATACCAGCAAACTATGTCCCTTAATTTTTGTGGCCAGTTTATCCAAAAAAGAGAGAGAGCATTAGGCTAGAATACAAACCTCTGTGACTTCTGAGGTCACTTCTTTGAGCCTCATTTTCCCTGTTTATAAAGTGACTGGGCTGGATGAGATGAACTCCAGGAGTCTTTACCTCTAATGGCTTAAAGTTTGAGTCTGGCCTAAAATCAAGGAAACAAAGCTAATGCATTCACGGTCTTAGACTCTGTGAGAGCAGTCAAACGTATGTGTAGAAGGAAACTATTTCAATGGGAGGGAAATCTAAAGAAATGCTTTTGTTTGATTTCAGTACTCTGTTAGAGATCACATATACTTTGTATTAAGAAAAACTCTTCCTGGTAAAGATTTTGGATGTTAAATATAATCATGAGATCAGTCCATATTACCATAATAAATTATCATTTATGGTAAAACATGCTGAATTATCCCTCTTAGACTTAAGTACCTATTCGACCACATTATCCAAAATACACCATCACCTTTCATCTCCTTACACTATAATTACACTTATAATTACCTGGCTTTATTTTTTGTTTTTACACATAGACACAGTATTTATAGACTATTTCTCTACTAGAGGTAAATAAACTCTTTGTTAGAGACTTGTCTGTCTAATCATCACTGTATCATCGGTTGCCTGGAACCTCGTGCAGTATTATTACAGGCACTCAGTGAATAAACAAGTGAATGAATGTGTGTATATTTATGCTAAATTCAGAAATGACAGAATCTGAGTGATGTAATAGCTAATTAAAATCAGGCTTTGCTCATGAGCCCACTATTTATTCCAGTTATTAATTCAGATCATTTACAGACCTCTGTTACTCTTTTATGTGGGTTATATGGATCTGTTTGTTTTTTTCAGGACCAAGTACTTTAGGTAACATTGTAGAAGAAGTGACTCATCCCTGTAACCCAAATCCTTGCCCGGCCAATGAGCTCTGTGAAGTCAACCGAAAAGGGTGTCCATCTGGAGACCCCTGCCTTCCATACTCTTGTGTTCAAGGTAGGTGGGTGTGGGTGTGAGTGCAGACCAGTCCTGCTGGTATTTCTTATAGGAATTATCTTTGGACTGGGGCTGTAGAGACTTATTGTCTATATTATGTATTTCTGCAATGTTTGATGTTTCTCCAATAAGTATGCATTATTTATGTAAGCAGGAAAAGACAAAGACACATGTAATTTTTGTTCCTTTTTTTTTTTAATGCTAAAGGGCATGTGTGCACACATGACAGAGAGAGAAATCTCTCCTCAACAGAGCTGAGTCACACCAAAATCCTTTTTCTTCCTATTCTCCATCCATCTGGATCCTGGGCACATGTGTGCATACCCAGTGTGGGTTTACTTTCTTTTTTTTGTTTAATTTTTTTAAAAAATAATTATTTAATTTTATTTATCATTATTAATTCAGTTTGACCAGAAAGAGAGAAAGGGAGAGGGAGAGTGGGAAAGCAAGTTGCCAAATCCAGGATTCAAACTGCAGTCAGCCATGTGGGAGTCCAGCTCCTTAACCACCATGCTACTTATTGGCCCAGTATGATTTTTAAGCCACCACGGCCAGGACTCGAGTTCTGGTTGGCTATATAGCATTCGGCTTTTTCTGCACAGCACTTAACCACCACTGTGCTACAACGCCAGCCCTCATTTTCAATTGTCACTTAGATTGTAAACAAATAATACTGATTCAAAACTTGACGCTCATAATGTGTTACTGGGTTCTTGGCTAAGAAGAAAAGAGAAGCTGGGTCCAGATTTTTGTACTTTTTTTTCCATATTATAATATTTAAGAAAACATATTGTATATTCATGTTTTTTTCTTTTCTCTCCTTTAGTATATAGAAAAATGTCATGCTCAATAGGATATATAATTCTCTTCATAAACATTTATGTTATGTTGAAATGCAGATGATTTTAAGGCTGAAAAAATTGTTCTTCCATAATTTCAATAATCTGTATCTTTCTGTCAGTAACTGTAGCACATATTGGGTCATCAGAAAAGTAATGACATATTTTTTTAAAATAATTATTTTATTTAGCTTCAATTTTATTTATGTATTTATTTATTCTAATTTGACCAGAGAGGGACAGAGAGAGAGAGAGAAAGTGAGAAAGCAAGCCACCAGGTTTGGGACTCGAACTGCAGTTGGCCATGTGGGAGCCCAACACCCTTAGCTACCATGCCACCTGCCAGCCCCTAAGGATGAATTTTCACACAGAAAAAAAATGCGTCATGACTTTTCCAATGACCCAATCGTGGTGGCAGCATTTTTGCTTCTTTTTATTATTTCCCAGTTGAAAAAATGTTTCTTTTTTTTTTTTAAGGGGTTTATCCTATAGGGCACATGCATTCACCAGAAAGACATAGAGAGACAGAGACAGAAAGCGAGAAATTACCCCCCAAAGGGATGGCCACACCGCAATCCCTTCTCCTCCATTCTCTTCTCGGGATTTGGGGCATGCACGCACACATGCCTGGCATGACTTTAAGCCACTGGGTCCAGGACTCGAACCACGGTCAACTACATGGGAGTCCAGCTACACAGCCGTTACACCATCTGCTGGTCCCAAAAATGTTTCTTTATCATGTTATAATTAACATTTTTAAGTATTCTTCAAGTAAAAAGAAATAATTAAAAAAACATCAAATAAACATGTCTCAAAGGATCATCTATAGTATTTGTGTAATACCATCATTTATCAGCTATAGAATCATAATGAATCTTGTTAAAATTGGAAATGTTAGGCTGTTTTATATTTCCTGGTAATATTTTGTGTCCATTATCTTTACATTATAAATTTTTTTTAGAGGTTTTTGCTATAGGGCGCGTGCGCTCATCAGACAGACAGAGAGAGAGATAGAAAGCGAGAAATCATCCCCCCATGGGGGATGGTCACGCCGCAATCCCTTCTCCTCCATTCTCCTCTTGGGATCTTGGGCACGCACGCACACGCAGCCGGCGTGAGTTTTAAGCCACCGGGTCTGGGACGTGAACCGCGATCGACTACATGGGAGTCCAGCGACTGCTGGTCCCAACATTATCATTTTTTTTTGGCATGAAAATAAGGCATAGTTACTTAAAATGATGATACTTATATTCCTTTAAATGTGGAATTCAATTCTGAATTCTTTTGTTTTGTTAAACTCAGACTGTCTTGTAAAAGGTAGAAATATATAAGATAGAAAATAGGTTTTCCTTATGCCCACTCAAATATTTAGTTTTTCTTTGAATTTAGATATGCTCAAATTCCATCACTGAAAACTTTTCTCACAAAGATTATTCCTGAAAATACTGTCAGTTTCCATACTCCATTTTTAAAATTTCTGTGATTTTTTTCAACATCTTTGATTAGTCTGAAGAAGTAAAAAGCTGCATATCTTAACATTTTTTACTAAACTATTGCTAACTTTGAAGTACCAGTCCTTAATCAGCACATCCCACAGAACATGGAATTTTGACTTGAGGAGATGTGTTTTTGGCCAGTGAACCAAGGCAGATCCTTAATTTGGGGAGAATCCTCCTAATCTGTAATAGCAGCACAGTACCTATAAGACTTGCATGAAATGTATCTTATGTCCTGAGACAGTACCGTCTCTCCCAGCTAATTTTTTGTTTGTACAGGGTGCAAATTGGGAGAAGCTTCTGATTTCATCGTCCGTCAAGGGACACTAATCCAAGTGCCATCATCTGCCGGGGAAGTTGGTTGTTATAAAATCTGTTCTTGTGGACAAAGCGGCCTCCTAGAAAATTGTATGGAGATGCATTGTGTAGACCTCCAGAAGTCTTGTATTGTTGGAGGGAAAAGAAAAAGTGAGTTTCGAACCATATTTGGTTTTTACTTTTACTATTTCTTTCTTTTTTCCATGAGCAAAAGCATGAGACGGGCACCCCAGCAGGGTCTTCACACCTCGATCCATCCCCAGCTTCAGCTAGCCCTGGATCACAGGCGCATGAGTACCCAGTGTGTGCAGGGAGGTCTGTGGAGCAAACATAGAACCTTCCCGTGCTGGTCATCCTTGCAGAGCACCGTGTCACTGCCACACCACTACCCGGTCCCCTGCTTTTTTTGCTTTTAATATGAGATTAGTTATCTTCAGTGTGTAGGAAGAATACTGGATAGAGTCTCATCAGCAAGTATAAGCCATATATTTAAGATACTCCAGGCCAGGAGTCAGACTATACAGAGCACTAGGATTTCTTTTTTTTTTTTTTTTTTTGAGAGGTTTTCGCTATAGGGCTCGTGCGCTCGCCAGACAGACAGAGAGAGACATAGAGACAATGCAAGAAATCACCCCCCAGTGGGGATGGTCACGCCGCAATCCCTTCTCCTCCATTCTCCTCTTGGGATCTTGGGCATGCATGCACACTCGCCCAGCGTGAGTTTTAAGCCACCGGGTCCAGGACGCAAACCGCAGTCAACTACGTGGGAGTCCAGCGACATAGCCATTACGCCAACTGCTGGTTCCCAAGAGCACTAAGACTTCTTAGAAACCCTCTATAAGTCTTCTCAAGAAAGACCCAATGGTTAGTAGTAATAAAACAGCCAGTTCTATGCATGTGCCAAGCATGATGCTAAGTCTTACCCAACATTGCATTTAATCCCCCAAGTTACATTTCGATGCAGGTATTATTATTATCCCTACTTCGTAGATGAGGAAGCTGATGCTCAAAGAGATACCCTGCTAGTAAGTAGGGTTCAACTCCAGGCCTGTTCGACTCTAAAACTCTTGCCCTCCTCAGACAAGGATGCAGGTGCCCTCCTCTCCACCACCTCCTCAGCCATCCTCCACCCCATGCCCACTTCAGCAGAAATGAGGCTCAGATTCCGAGATCAGGAAAAGCAACTTGGGGGAAGGGAATCCCTGTTGGTTGGGGGTTTGGAAAGAGCACATTAAAAAGTGCTACCCTTGAGACCACCAGATGGTGTAATGGTTGTGTTGCTGGACTCCCACGTAGTTGACTACAGTTCTAGTCCTGGACCCAGCAGCTTACAATTCATGCTGAGCATGTGTGCATACATGCTCAAAGTCTGAGAGGAGAAGGGATTGCAGCATGGACATCCCCCCTGGGGTGTGATTTCTCACTTTCTGTCCGTCTGTCTCTTTCTCTGTCTCTCCAGTGAGTACTCCCTGTAAAAAAAAAAAAAAAAATCTCTTTCTTAAAAAAAAAAAAAAGTGCCACCCTTTAGGGCTGGCCTCATAGCCCAGTAGTTAAGGGAGTCAGAGCCCACATGGCCAACCGTGGTTTGACTCCCTGCCAGGAGGAAAACAGGATGGAGAAATGGAGGAGAAGGGATTGCATCATGACTACATTCCATTAGGGGGTGCTTTCTCTCTCCCCCCATCTCTGTCTCTGTGACCCTCTGGCAAGCGCATACACCCTCTGGTAGTTAAAAAAAAGTGCCACCTTTTGGTCTTTTCTCTTAGGGTCTTGTTTTCCGCCTTGCTTTTATAACTGTCTTTTACTTAGAGTCCTGCCAATGACCTCAAATACATGACCTCAAAAATTGTGAAAAAAATGCCACTTTTCAGTATGCGCTCCCTTCCCACCTGCTCACTCTGCTACCCTATCCCTCACCGTATCGTCCTACCCTTTAATACAGCTTTCATGTGCTTTCTGGTTTACCCTTCTGTGTGAGATCTCATCTAAAGGAAGAATGCTTTTGGTTAAAAGGAACTTACAAATTTCTGCCCTAGAGCAAGTCAGGCATTTATATTTTAGTCCATATTTTCCATGGCAAAAATGTGAAGGTATATCCCTTGTAGCACAAAAAAAAAAAAGGTCTGAGGGATTTCTGCCCTAGAGCAGAAATTTTAGTCCATATTTTCCATGGCAAAAAGGAGAAGGTATATCCCTTGTAGCACAAAAAAAAAGGTCTGAGGGCAACAATGTATTCTTCTGTAAACTTTCACTGACTGAATACCTATTCTGTACCAAAGGACATACTAGTGCTTTGGGAGCTTAAAGGGGCGGGGCCGGGGGGTGGTGTTAAGCTGTATGTGATACAACGGGAGAGTTGCAGACCAAGCTCTTCTGGGAGCTAATCACTCCTGCCAGGGCATCAGAGGAGTCTCAGTCCAAAGATGGCATCAGGTCTGGCCCTAGAGAGATGAATGAAGTTCCTGGGGAGCAAAGGAGCATTCCAGGCAGAAGGGGCGGCCAGACGCATTCTCAGAGAATGGAGAGCAGCCTGGTAAACCAGCACGTTATGGAGGAATAGGGAAGAATGTGATGTGAGGTGAACAGGAAATCAGAACACCACGGATCTGATTTCCCGGTGTGTACATGCCCAAGTCATCTTTCAGGAATTTCCACTGTAAACTTCTGAACTACTAATTGTTTAATTTATGCTCATCCTCAATCCATGACATAGACCCGCATTTCCTTTCTCTTTCTTTCAGGCCATGGAACATCCTTTAATATCGACTGCAACGTCTGCTCTTGTTTTGCTGGTAACTTGGTGTGTTCCCCCCGCCTCTGCCTCAGTGAGCACAGTTCGGAAGATGACCGTCGCACTTTCACAGGTGACCCCGGTCGCCCAGAGGCTGTCCTCAGGGGCCATCATTCCCGTGCTTACACTTTTCCCTTTAGTTCAGCTTCTCAGGTGTTCCCTTCATAAATGGACAAAGTAAAATTAACACAGAGCTAGAGGGCAAGACCTTCCCCCTCTGGACCTCAGTTTGTCCTCTGTGAATTGAAGGCATTAAACCAAGTTGGGTTTTATGTTCTCTTTTTCAGTGTATATATATATAGACTCGTAATTTTTAAAAAATAATTATTTTATTTGATTTATTTATTTATTTATTTATTTATTTATTTATTTGGAGAGGTTTTTGCTATAGGGCGCGTGCGCTCGCCAGACAGAGAGAGACAAAGAGGTAGAAAGTGAGAAATCACCCCCCAGGGGGCATGGCCACGCCTCAATCCCTTCTCCTCCGTTCTCCTCTCGGGATCTTGGGCACACACGCACACGCGCCCAGCATAAGTTTTAAGCCACTGGGTCCGGGACGCAAACCACGGTCGACTATATGGGATCCCAGCGACATAGCCATTACGCTAACTGCTGGTCCCATTATTATTTTTTCTTATCTGACAGGGGAGGGCAGTGGGTACTGAGAAAGTAAACTGCCAGGTCCAAGACTCGAACTGCAGTTGGCCATGTGGGAGTTCAGTGCCTTAACCACTGCACCACCTGCCAACTCCAAACCAAGTGGTCTTTAGGCTCCTCCTAGTACTACTACTCTAGGATTCCAGAAATCAAAAAGAACAGGGCTAGGGATCATACAATGGTTTTAGTTAAATGAAACTCTTCTACCTGGTAAAACACCCCATTCACCTCTACCATTATGGCCTCATGTGTCCATGTACTTCCTACATTTGTTTTTTCACCACCTTCTCCTTGATCTGCTTTAGCTAACAGGTTCATCTAGACTCCCACAAACAGCACTATCCCAGGATACTGCTGCCTGTTTGATTGGTGATGCTGTACGCGGCCGGTTTAGCTTACACCAACTGCAGCACGTGAAAAGGCTGGTGAGATGGGATCCTCTTCCCCTGTGAAGCCATCTCTGCCAACAGTACAGTCCCATCTGCTACCATCTCCTGAGAGCCACTTTTCCCAGATCTGAATTACCCTTGGTTCTGGTAGAGAGGAACTAGAGCTGCCTGTGCTCACGTCTCATGCTGCTGCAGCGGCTACCTCCTCTTCCTGGTGTTAGTATTACACAGGGTCAGGTGTAGGGAGAACGGAATAAGGATGTACCGGCCTGCTATCTCCAGCCCACCGGAAATAAAAGGAGATCAGAAATAAGAAGTGAAGGGCAAGCCCATGGGAAGCAGGAGCGGGACGGACCCCACCCACCTCTCTCCACCCTAAGGAGTACCGGTGACTGCTTCGTTATCCTTATTCTTACCCTTTGCCTGCTCTGCTCTGATGAGGCCATTTTACTCTTAGGGAAGATGCAGAGGCGTGTGGGATCAAGAGTCCGCTCAAGATTTGCAAAAAAAGATCTTTTCTGAAACATCTGAATCACTCTTAGGGAAGATGCAGAGGCGTGTGGGACCAAGAGTCCACTCAAGATTCGCAAAAAAAGATCTTTTCTGAAACATCTGAATGATTTGGAAAATGAACTTTAAAACTAGCAAGACCCTTGTTCCCTACCGTGTGTGGCCCCTGGTGTCCTGGGACTAAGTCAGTGACTATGTAGCTAGCAGACCTCGTGGTGATTTGGCCCAGAGTGTACCACATTTCTCAGGACCCAGTGTCCCACACCAAACATGATTAGCAAGAGACATTCAGAAAAACTCATAGTCCTAAAATTATCACACCTTCCCGAGTTACCTTCTTGTTCTCCCCACTTCCCTCTCTAAGGAGATGAAAGTGGACATAGGCTGTATGAAGCGCTTGCAGCCTTCACCTTGTCTTATTTTTGGTAATTACCCTTTAATGTTCAAGAAATCCCCCAAGCCAGACTTCAAACAAATAAATTCTGTTGTTTTTTAAAAGTTTATTAATTGGGACCAGCAGGTGGCATAGTGGTCAAGGCACTGGACTCCCACATGGCTGACCTCAGTTGAAGTTCCCAACCTGGCAGCTTAAAAATCACACCAGGCACATTTGCATGCATGCCCAAAATTCTAGAAAAGAATGAGAGAGGGACCAGCAGTTGGTGTAATGGCTATGTCGCTGGACTTCCACGTAGTCGACTGCGGTTCATGTCCCGGACCCAGTGACTTGAAACTCACGCTGGGTGCGTGTGCGTGCGTGCCCAAGATCCCGAGAGGAGAATGGAGAAGGGATTGCGGCATGGCCATCCCCCCCTGGGGGTGATTTCTCGCTTTCTGTCTCTCTGTCTCTCTCTGTCTGTCTGGCAAGTGC